ATTAATTTAATTAAACAAAACTATATAACCTCAATATTACAAGGCGTTGCCATGGCCATGCCTATGCAAGACTAGCGCTTAAATCAACTAGCATTGGTCAATGGTGGGTTAATTTATTAAATAATAAATGTTAATTATTTTATTAATTATTAATTATCATGATTAATTTAATTAAACAAAACTATATAACCTCAATATTACAAGGCGTTGCCATGACCATGCCTATGCAAGACTAGCGCTTAAATCAACTAGCATTGGTCAATGGTGGGTTAACGTATAATATGGTTGTGAGAGAAAGATATTTGTTAAAGGACTTAGATTAATGTTTTAAAATAAAGTAAAAGTATAAATTAATTTTTATATATAAAGTTTATACTTATACTATTTCTAATTTATATGTTAGACCAATTGTGATTAATTACCTTATTAAAAAGATAGTGTATGTGATGGATCATCCACTTAAAGTTAATTGGTGTAAGAGTTTCATAAATTTATATTAGTATTAGTTGATTTCATTTCAAATACAATTGGTAATTAATATTCAAAGGACATATATTTTTTGTGAGAAAAGTAAAAATTAAAATGTCTTTATATTTAAAATATCAGCATTATTGATGAAACTGTTTAAATATTTTTAATTAATCTTTTTAGTATATTGATCCATTTAAAATATTTAAATCTTATAGTTATCATCTTTGATATTTAAGTTATCAAAATATTTTAATTTTTCACAGTCCCTTATTATTTATAATGTGAATATTTTTATTCTTTTCATTAGTCTAAATTTCAAACAACTAACTACTAACCAAAACTTTTATATGCCAAAGACTCTCTTAGAACTTAAGAATAACTATTGTTACTATTATTATTATTATTATTATTATTATTATTATTATTTGGCCATTTATGTTAGTTGAATTATAAAAATTAAAGTTAAAATAAAAAGAAAATAAAAGAATAGCGAGAAATTAAAATAATAGTAAATTTAAAATATTAAAAACTAAAAACCTACCCCTCTTGTTCTACAATAATATTAATTATATTCCCCGCCATGTGGTCTGCTGCCTATCCTCTTAGGCGATCAGTTGGGGG